ACTTTTTGCCGGTTCTTTTCTCAGAGCTTAATATTTGTCTTTCTTCTGTAACCCAGGATGCTGTCTTCAGTTATATTTCTCAGCTTGTATCAGAAGAGTGTCTGTAAGAACACAGATGAGTGAATCTGTCACTTCATTCATCTGGATCTTAAATTTCCCATAGAAACTGTGCTGGGAATATCTAATAAGATACATGTAACAACATGACTTTAATATTCGTCTTCTTCTTCTTCTTTTTTCTTAATATTGTTATAGTTAAATCCACAAAGTTAAAGCTAGAGTAGAACTTCTATAGCTCAATGAGCGTTCTATGAGTAGAAGGTATTATTGGATCCAAAAAACCAAAGTGAATGTAGGAGCTTAAGGGGGCATTATAGAGGAGAAAGAGTCAAAATGGCTAAAATTTAAGTATTAGGAGCTGTTAAAAGGGCAGATTGATTTGAAAAGCAAATTTTTATAAGTAGATTTCACAATGGGAATAAGGGTATGGAAAGAAGGGCCAAAAACTTGAAAAGAATTTGTCAAATTCCTTTTGCCAAAGAATTTTGCCAAAAGTATGCCATGGCCAAAAAAAAGGGGGAAAAAAAAAAAAGAGTAAGAATTGTTGCTTAGAAGCTTGTAATGACCTGTGGCCCACTTTCCAGAAAAGTAGCATTCTACTGTAGTTTTTTAACTGGGCACAAATCAGTACCATTGTATAATCAGGGGCTGTGATTATACCTTAGGCTTTGGAAATTTTCTAGGTCCATCCAATCATGCAGAAGCTGGGCAAATAAAATATAAGCAAGTTCCTTTTGTCAGTGTAAAGACATTATTAGCAGCATAACATGACTCAATAGGCAAAGAGTACAGGTCTAAAATATTAGTCCCCCAAATTCTACATATAGGCTTTGCTCCCTTTGGGTTCTTTGACCTTTTGCAAATTACTTGCCATTCCAAGTCAAGCCTGGATGGTTAAGGTCAGGATTCTTGAACCAATTATTATATGTGGTGGTTAGCTTTAGAAAGAAAACTGTTCCAAGGTCACAGTCAATATAAAAAAAATTCTAAGAGGTGAAAAAAAACCTGTAGATGATATGAATGACTAAGCATGAGTCTATCATCTCATCATGAAGCTAAATAAAAACAATTAAAAACACATGGGCAACGTCTCAGTTAGTGGTGTCATCTTTGAATGTGAAAGACAGAATCTAAATAGGGTTGGCTCTCTGTATCCACGGATGAGGAACCTGCAGATATGGAATGC